TCCCGGACTCGAGCGTGGAAGAGCCCCCTTCCACTCTCTGAGCTCTCCTTCACCCTCAGGTTAGCAAACCCTAAACCCTAATTATTCAATCTACTTCAAAACTAAATTTTCAACAGGATCGAAAGTTCTGCATCCTCTTTACTATTTTACGTTTTCAAATCACCAATTTAAGAGTAATCAATTATTTGTTTGACAGATTTTTGTTTAGTCATTTAATTGAGAGTTGCATTGAAGGGGAAACCTCGATTTTTCTTAATTTTGTCAACTGATTGAAGCACTCCCTCATGGATTTCACAATTGCATGTAAATCAAGCAAAATTGGAACTTAACATCAAGCGGTGTGGGTTAATAGAAATTGTCAAAGGTAAAAAGTTGTTCTTTTATGTTATAGACAGGATGTTGCCCTTCGATCCATCGAAAAGGAATTCTTTTCAGCGTCAAATCTGCGACGGCGATCTGGTTATTGTGTATGAAAGGCATGACAGTATGAAGGCCATCAAAGTAAATAATGGTTCGGAGCTTCAGAACAGATTTGGGGTTTTTAAGCATGCAGATTGGATAGGGAAGCCTTTTGGGTCTAAGGCACTAAGCACGAAGGGTGGGTTTGTCTATCTATTAGCCCCCACGCCCGAGTTATGGACTTTGGTATTGAGCCACAGGACTCAGATTCTATACATTGCGGATATTAGCTTCGTGGTTACCTACCTTGAAATTGTCCCTGGCTGTTTGGTTCTTGAGTCGGGAACGGGAAGTGGGTCTCTTACAACCTCTCTTGCTCGGGCTGTTGCACCTTCGGGTCATGTTCACACGTTTGATTTTCATGAGCAGAGGGCGACCTTGGCTAGGTAAGCTATCGGAACTTCCAAATTTTTGGTGGTGATATCATTATTATTAATAATATTGAATCCCAGTATATATCAATGCAGTTTCACCAATGTACAAATCTAGTGAAGTAATGAACATGGGTAAGCCATTTCAAACTAATACCTCAAGACAGGTTTGTCCACGAGAATTTTGAAGAGGCTTTAGCTACGCAAAACCTTTACCCCACACTGCCTTTTTCAATTAACTGTCATTTGGGCTATCAAAAAATTATGCATTTTGAAGCCATTGCTTTGTTTACATCCAATTGCAAATTAATGAAAAACACAAAGTACAGGAGTAATCACACCACTTATGAACTGGGAGGATGCTTTATCGATGATAGAAAGACTAGCTCCTTTTGAAGAAGACCTAGAAGTGTCTAAGCCAACTTATGTATACACACATCCAAAGGTAAAAGATGATTACCACGTCATTACGGCTGCTATTGTAGTTCCAACATTATGTAACAGGAGTCATTCAATAACATCAGAAGTAAAAAAAGGAAAACTAGGAGATGGAGATAGTTTAGAGTAATGAACTAAAGCTCAGAAAATAAGACTTTGTTCAAATCTTTACAGAGATCTACTAGTAGAAATCATATCTGGTTGATCAGGAACCCAGGCTGTATTGCGGACTTACAGGACCCTTTTTTGTTGTAAATGTCTCAATCATGAGTGTCCAGTTGTGAAGGAATACAAGGCATTATAAATGTAAAATACGTGTCATTCTTTTGACCAGAACATCCTGAATTCGACTTTGGAGCATGTTACAACTATTTAGTATTTTTGTTCGCATACTATGAAGAAATTGCCATGCTACCTAATTTCATTGCTATTTGTCTCTCTTTATTTATTTTAATTGCTTCTATGATCTAAAGGATCACTACCTACAAAAGCGAATGGTTTGCAAACTATATGTGTAACAAGTGAAGGGGTGAGGTTGAACTATTGGAGGTCCCATGCTCATAACCAGGTAGGGCCATTAAAAGAAGAAAGAAAATAGAAATACAAGCTAGTACGCTTGTTCAAGAACCATAGAATTTCCGACTGATTATATTAAGGTGTAGCACATGACACCAATTATAGGAATATAAACTTGGTGGTAGTGTTGCATAATGTTGAATTAATTTGGTAACATGTTGAACTTATCTATCCAGAGAAAAATGTTTATCCCCAAGTGTTTAGCCCTGGACATCTACTTTCAAGGGTACTTGAAAATTTATAAAGAAAATCTAAATGAGTATCAATTTGTTGACGACGTTTAATTGTGGGAATTTCACCTAAATAGGGAAGATTTTGAGAAAAATGGAATGAGCAGCTTGATAACAGTATTTGTTCGAGACATTCAAGGGGAAGGATTTCCCGAGGAATTCTGCGGTACTGCTGACTCGGTGTTCCTTGACCTCCCTCAGCCTTGGTTAGCATTGCCCTCCGTGGCAAGAATGTTGAAGCAAGATGGCGTTGTCTGCTCGTTTTCTCCTTGTATTGAACAAGTGCAGCGCTCTTGTGAAACTTTACGAGCAAAATTTACAGGTGATCCCCCTCCCTCCATCTCTACCTTATGATGGTCATATTGCTTTCTGTCAATATTGACCTTCAAGCCTATGTTTTAAGGGTAAATTCCACAGAAACCACTAGACTTTGGGGCATGAAATCCTCTTAAACTTTATAATGAGAGCAAGTCCTCCTAACTTTTTGTACTAAAATCATGACTGAGCATCTTGTTTAAGTTATCATGTGATTTGGGCGTATCTTTCAAATTTGGGTTATTAGCACTTAAATACCGGGTTAATTGGCACTTAAATACCATGTAATTTCCCCTACTTGCACTTTATACCTTGACATGTTTTTGTAGCACTTTTATACCCTGAAGTTTCTAAGAGTTGCCTTAATTTTCTTTCAAATTTCCCATGTGACGCTCAGAATTTAATTGTTATAACTCAATTTTCCTTCAATTTAGTGTTAACCCTACCCTGATGTACCTTAAACCTACACATGCGTCAATTGTGTTATTTGTATGGCAGAAGGTATTAAACTACGAAGTTTCGGAACCTCAGGTCTATAACTGTTGCCAAAAACAAATGGGGGTATATATGTGCAAATTAGGAGAAACTATAAGGTATTTAAGTGTTCATTAGCCTAAATGCCGCGAACATAGCACCATTTTTAACTTGAAACCCCAAACTATTTTCTGCTCCAAAAGTACCCAAAGTTCAGAAAGGTTTCCTTGATAACCTTTAGAATACTTAGCAGGAGGTACCAATGTTAAATGTTCTTTTATCTTTGGGGTACTGTTTTGTGGGGAAAAAAACTTTGGTGGTATCAAAGTTAAAAATAATGTAAACCTTGGGGTATTTAAGTGAAAATAAGCCTTTTAACTTTACTGAGAGAGTTTTTCGGGTTAGTACTAGTAGAGTAATAAGGATGACTTGGTCCTTTTAACCTCCATGCTAGCGTCATGCACGACAATTTTCAATTGTTCATAGTAGTGTTTACTAATTTCGAAAGATCAGGGGGATTTTCTAATTAATTAAGCTGAGGAGGTTTTGTGAAGTTTACTGCTTTCAAATTCCATGTAAACGAAGATTGTGTTGTTAGATCCGCATATATAAGCTGACAATGATTTTCCCACAAACTTCCTTTGATCCGAAGTATGTTGTTCTCTTATGCAGATATAAGGACTTTTGAGATACTCCTTCGGACATATGAAATTAAAGAAGCGCGGATAAAGGTTGAGGAAGAGGATAAAGGCTCGCCTGTAGGATCTCTCCCTTATAAAAGAAGGCAGTATTCATCCAGCGAGGAAAACCACGAATGCATGGAGAAAACTAACTCGATCATGGCTAGACCGTCCAGAGAGACAAAAGGGCACACTGGGTACTTAACATTCGCTAGGCTTGCATGTATTTGATAATATGATAACGATTTTGGATTCAGTAGTTATTTGTACTAATATATCTGTATGCTTATGTACAATATGGCATGGCACCAGAAGATTATTCCGGCGCAATAATTTCTAAACAAACTACTTAAGAGTATTTAATGGTTGACAGTGAATTACTTTTTCCTTGATTTAAACAACTTTTATAGATACCTTTAGATGAAGCATCAATTTCTTTTCATTTGAAGATGAGTTGCACATTTAAGGCTAAATAAATGTGAAATGATAAGATGCATGTGCATTTTTATACCTCTGGGATGAATGCAGTAACTCAAACGCTCTTCTATTCTTTGGTAGAATGTTGCTCGTATAATGAGCCTCTTCCATCATCAAATTCATGGCTGAGTTTTTTCTGCGCGGCTGCAATTTGTAAGAATACAAACGTAGATATCGTTCCTTTACAGCTTGCTTGTAATTGCAGAAAGAATCACGTTTTACAGGATACCTCTTTATTTTCCCCTAAAGTAGTTCAAGTTTAACACTACAATAACAAAATAGTTACAATAGAAGTGAAATAAACCACAAGAATTGTAATTACAATTCTTCTAAAAGCAGATCGCTTTTACTTAGGCTCTCAAGAGTTAATTGCTCAAGCTCGGTGCATCATGTATCAGAGAGAGAAAAAGAGAAAATTGCTTGATGCGACAGCAGAAAAAGTGAGAACTTGAGATTTATACTACCAACATCATGCTACCACATAAGTTATCACAACCATCTCACTCAAACATAAACAGCATAAAATACCACAACTAGATACTAAGCTACTGTGATAATCAAGTACTGGATGCAAAACTTAAAACAACATAAATATTAAGTTGGGAACAAGCCTCCTATATTCTTACCCCTTCTCTTATTTGAGTAACTATCTGATTCAAAAAAATAGAAACATCATACTCTAGACTCCCAAACCCTACTCTTTCTCACAGGTTCTATATATAGGATAGCGCCGTTTCTCAAACTAAGCTTCACTTCTTAGACTTTTTAGGTGGCACCCTGCAAGAGAAAGCAAATTTTAGTTATATATATCATTAAATATGATTTAAACGGTAGCTACAAAAATTTTTCAACATTTTCACTTACTCTGCAGATTGGACAGTAGGGGCTGGTGATGCCTTTTCTACTGGGCCCTGTTTGTGCATAAAGAAGGGTCAACAATGTATAAGTGCAGAATAACAATTATGGTAGAAAGAATTATCTACGGCTAATGATTGAACATTACATGAGGCCATCAAATATATTCTAAAAAGAAATTATAGGAAAAGGAGAAGCAATAATCAAGCAGTTAACATGAACTAGAAAATGCAAGGTGTTATTACTAATGAAAGTACTTCCATTCTTTGTTCATACAACCCTGCATTAAGAAAATGAACTAGCAATCACTCTTTTGCAAAACCAACAGGTCAGCATCAAAGGAAAGCTATATCAGATTACACTAAAGTCCTGTTTTGATTTCCCTCTTCAAGCCAATTAACTGATCTTCTATACAAATGTTTGTCCAGCTAGAAAAATTCCATAACATGGTACACATTGGGTTCAGTTAGTGTTAGAACGTAGCCAAGGCAATATATCCATTGCCCCAAGGTTCACACTTCGATCAGTTTTATTCATCCTCAGTGAATCCTCCAAAAACTTTATTTCAATAATGATTCCTCTCCTACAAGTTCTAAAGACAACAGATCTTTGTCACAAAGATTAAAAAAAATAATAAAGAAAGAGAAGCAACTAGCAAGATAGTTTCCCTATCAATACCGATGCACACAATTTTCATGACCAAGAACCAATTAAAGCTAAGTAATTTTAGGAAAATATGGTCCTAAAGAAGGCCAATCCATTTACACAAATAATTTTTAAAAGTCTTCTTTAAAAATAGAGATTAACTCAAGTTTCAGGATTATTTTAGCCTTTAGAGTAAAAATGAAAGGCTATTTGTGGACTGAACAGTTCTTAAATCACACTATTCGGATTTCATTTATTTATTTATTCAGACTCGTTATTTACCAGTGGGGTGGCACGTCTACATATCTCATATATATGTCAGTCAAATGGTGTCCATCAAGAACAAGCTACGGAGGTTAATTTAATCACAGATGCCACTCGAACAATTAACGAAACATAATGAGCATTAGCTAAACAATCACCAGCAGAACTGGCCTCCTATGAATGGCAAAAGGAAAATGGTTGTGTTTCCACTTCAAAAGGTCCAATCCTAGTTTCCATTCTAGTTCCATAAACTTTCATAACGCAGGTGTCCAATCTCTATTACTGCACTAGTTGCATTAAGTTTTAACAACCAATTGGCACGATAGCAATATAGATGAGTCCTGCTATTGTTTCCTATATAAAGGCATACAAAGTCCACACCATGACATAGCAACTTATAAACATTGAATATGCTTGCAAACCACCAAAATTGTTGGTTCTCTGATGTGGAAAGAGGCTTGATAGCAAAGAGGAGAATCACACAAAACAGCACAACAAAAGTACTACATCTTTTTTTTTTAATCATTCATTTATCTGTCAATTTGGCAACCGATGCAAAAGAAAGCAAGCAAAGCATGCAGCTAGCCAGGGGTAGTTTGAGCGAATGCGTTCAATTCACAGGAGGAATCAAGCACATGGCAAAGGGTTAAACTGTTATCATTATTGGAGAGTTGCGGTTAACTAGTGCCTTCAATAATAAAACATAAATATATAGAAAACCAATAAACATGATAAAGCAGTAGGTATAGATAAATCTCAGATAAAAACGCATGATAGAATTTCATTTCACCTGAGCCAAGCGTTCCTCTCTCCTGGCTAACTTTCTCTCCCTGCTTGCCTTGCTCTTGGCCCTCTTAGCTTCAAACTGATCCGAAAGCGTCTTCTCTCTTGCCTTCTCAGCTTTAGACTTGTGAATACTCTCCATAAGCACTCTTTTGTTCTTGAACACATTACCTTTCACCTTCATGTACATTTCATGATATATGTGCTTGTCAATTTTTTTGGCTTCACGATATTTCCTTAACAACCGCCTAAGAACCCTCATTCTCCTCATCCACAGAATCTTAGTGGGTAGCCTAGCTTCTCTTGTACCCTTGCGCTTACCTTAATATTACAGGAAAAATTGTAAAATAAATTACTAAAACCGTTCATACTGGATTTTAGATTTTGTTTTTCTTTCTAGAAAAAAAATACCATATCCAGAATGTCTCCCCTTTCTCTTGGCCTCCATTGCTCGACGAGCACGAGATCGGGAATGGATCTTCATGGGCTTTCTTATAATGAAACCATCCTTCACTAACTTTCTAATATTCTGCCCTGCATTCCAAATCAAAAAGCAAGGGACATTTAAGGGTGAGGATATGTCGTAATTGTAAATACAACAAATGTTGAATGCAAAAACTGCTACATGCAACAGTTGTGGCAGGAAATTAACCTCAAGTGCATCATTGGACATCTATGTTTTTTTATTGTAGGACATGCATTTCCACATCCAAATCCAATGTTCGACTGGTAACAAAGTTGTTAGATTTGTATATTTTATTGCAAGTAATGTACTCCCATCGCAAATAAAGTTTTTGCCAATATGCAATTGTAAAATTAGTAACATTTTTTATATGAAGTCTGCTAATTTGATGACGACGTTAGTTTTTAATTTTTAATTAATAAAGACTTGCATCATTTGTTGCAGCCAAAATGATGCAACCAAATTGGCTGCAACAAATGCATCAACCTTTTTATTCTACAAGGCCATGTTTGGATTGGGTACTATCTTGATGTAATAAGCCTTTATCTTTTAAAATAAAATAGTGAGGCATTTGGTTTAAAATTTTGCGGGATTAGGCTGGACTAATTAGTCCTTACTGAAATAGTTTAGAGATTTTAGACTAAACAAAGGAGGGGGAGGGGTGTTGTTGTAGTAGTGGGACGGTTTCTCACTTGGGATTATACCCGAGACAGCCCCATGCCCCCTTAACCTTCCTAAAAATTACCAAGGGTTTCCCTCTAATTGTTTCTCCCACCCATATCTGTTGCTGCCATCACCCATAACACACGCACGCACGCGCGCGCACAAAGGAACAACATCCCCACCCAAAAAAAGGCAAAAAACAACTTCTAAACACAATAAGCAACAATTTCTCTCATCTCCAGCTAAATTCATCACTATCTGCAATGTCTGAAATGCAGCGAAACCTATATAAGAAAAAAAATACTTGAATTAGTGTACTCATCTAGGTGGGCAATTACACGGTGATGCCTGTTGGATAGTTTTTCAACTTGTAGTTATTAATAAGGGAACGTGCAGCGAAACCATATGAGTAATATATGATTATGACAATAGTTTGTCCACCTATAGTTAGTATTAAGAGAATGTGCAGTGAAAACTATATAAGAAATGTTTATTCAACAGTGTCTCCGCCTATAGTTGGTAATAAGGGAACAGAACATGCAGTCAAACCAATATCAGAAATGTATGATTGTTTCTCCAAAAACGCATAAATGACTATTTATTCTCATCTCCAAGCATCTTTCATGCAATAAAGATTGACATGTCATGTAAAATAACTTCTAACTGATTGCCTCGTTAAATCAGACCACTCATTATTAGTGCAACTCATATGACAGTAGATGATCAACAAGATGATCATGGATAAATTCATGACAAAGAAACAAATCAAATAATAGGCCTTCCTATTGTAGCATTTATTCTGCTACGATAGATATCCGATAATGAATCTCCAAACAAATAAATTGAAAACTAAAGTCAAGACAGATAGTGTCACGCCCCGAAACTGCAGCGGAATATCATAAAATACGGGGTACGCGACAGCAGCGACCCGTGCACAAGGCAAGTCTTATGCACGAGTCAAGCCTGGCAAATCACATCACATAGTTTATTTTCAAATAGTAATAAACCTGCTGATGATAGAAATCGGAGCAACTATATATATATATATATATATAAGATCGGTACTTACAGCCCACAAGCTCACCGTTATAAGCATTTTTACAAAACAAAACGAAATATGCTGAAGGTAACATCAACAAGAAGAGGCTCTCCATATAACGCCTCTCAGCCAAAAGCTCAAACCCAAAAGCCGGCTAATAGGAAGCTACGCCGGATCTGAAAAATATTAAAAACAACGGAATGAGCTAGCGCTCAGTGAGAACATTTCCCACTAGAGTTCCTAGATAACTAACAAAATAGTAATAA